AGGGCAACTGCCTTCTCCCCTCCCCCCTCGGCAGCCTGCCGGCCGTCGTGGAAGGTGAGGAACCAGGACTCTCTCAGATGAGGGGGTGGGGAGACGGTCGCAATCTCTTGCTAATAGGGGCCGTTCTTGTTTTACATCAGGCCTGAGGCTTTCAGTCACCCCAGGGAACAAAAAGCAGAAGCAGGGTTGTTTTTGCCGGAAACAGGCCCTGTGCTTGTGACTGGTCAGGAGAACTGGAGTGACCAGGCTGCATCAGGCCGATGGGCTGCCTAGCCTAGGATCCCGGCTGTTCCCACAGCAACCACTGCCCAATGCGTCAGGGGACTCGGCCGGAACGGGCCATTTATGGAGGGATGCAGCCCATTCTCCAGCCACTCAAAGGGTTAGGGCAGCAACAGGCAACCATAAATAGTGGCCAGCCCATGGGCGGCCCGCCTTCACCTAGGTTCCACCTGGATTCTCCCTCCCATCCTCCCCTGTCTTCCCCACTCGCCTCTCGTACGCTGGGACACCAGAGCCCTGCGCCTTCCGGCTTCTCCCCCGCCCTCCCAGCACCTTTGGAGCACACCGATCGGATCGCCTGATCTGCGCTCTGTCCCCACTCCCCAAGCTGGAATGCGGCGAGCAGCTGATTCTTGGCATTCCAGCTGGGGGTGGGGGAGCAGAGCAGCAGGGATGGAGCCAGAATCAAGCAATTTGTGGCCCCTCCCCAAGTGCTGGGAGGGAGGAGTAGGAAGTGTGGGGTTCTGGTGCCCCACTGTGAGAGACACGTGGGGGGCGGGAGGCAGCCAGCGGGGTAGCAGGCTGCAGGTGGAGCCCCAGTGGGCCGCATGCAGCCTGCAGGTTGCGCACTACTAGCATAGGGACACACAGGGCATGGGGGGCGATGGGGCTGCAGGGCTGTACTCACCAGCTGGCTGCTTGGGAGAACAGCTCATAGTCAACCCTCTTTCCCATAGTTGCTGCCTATCTCCACAGCCCTCCAGCCAGGTCCCTACATGGCTCCCCTTCTAGGCACCCTTTCCAAGTCTCCTCTGGCTATGTGGCACCAGGCCGTCCTCATGGCCCCTGAGCCTGGTACTCCAACAGGCCCAGTAGCCTTCCTACTCACTGCCAAACAGAGCCACTCCACAGGAGCTGGCATGGGAACCCAGACCTGCCCGGACTCAGGGTTCCAGGCTTGGGCCCCTGCCTGCCCACCTGCCCTCTACTCCCTTATCCCCAGGTGAGGAGACTGTGGCTTTGTGGAAGCCTGGTCTGTTCCCTCCCAGATGAACCTTCCTCTAATTAGCTTCCCCCAGCTTCCGACTCCTTCTCATTTGCATTCTAACTGGCTGATTCGGCCCATGTGGCCTAATTCAGCTCTCTCATGGGGCCACATACCTGCTCACCCTGGCTAGCAGGCATGGAGGGATCTCTCTGCCATGAATGGAACTCGTTCTTGTTTATGCCCACAACATCCCCTGGCAAGGAGTTCCGCAGGTTGGCTGTGCATTCTGGGAAGAAGTTCTTCCTTCTGCTTGCTACAAAGCTGCCACCTATCAATTTCAGTGAGCCTTGGGGTTACGTGATAGGGTAAATAATGTGTCCTTGTCACTTTCTCCGCCCCAGAACTCTGCCACCTCCCCCTTGTCTCTTTTCCAAGCTAAACAGTCGTGGTCTCTTTGATCTCCATGGCCTTATGTTATTTTGGTCACCCCTCTCTCTGCTTTGCCCATCCAAGCTCTCTTGTTTGAGACAGGGCAGCTGGAACGGCAGCCGGTGCCTGTGTTGCTCTGATGAGGTCCCAGCCTCGTGCTGAAAGCGGATCAGGCGGGGGTCAGTGTGTGCGTACAATGACGGGGGCGGTGATGGAAGGAAGTTGCCGTGATGCTCACATCTCCATCCCGCTCCCTGTCTGCAACCTCAGCCTCTCCACATTCCCTTCCCCAGCCTCGCCGTGTGTAGTTCCCAACTGGCAAGGTGAAGGGGGCGGGGGGTTGGCCAGACATCACAGGATGGGTTCAGCCAGCAGGAAACCAGCTGGGACACGATCCTGGGAGGCTGTCCTGGAACAGGCCCTGCCTGTGTGGGTGGGACCAAGTCAGTGACGGGCACTGGACCTGGCCTATACAGGAGAGAGAAAATCAGCAGCTCCAGCAGGGGTGAAGCAAAGGATACCCCGAGATAACCAGGGCAGATCGGCATGGTAACAGCTGCTACACACTGACAACACCCCTTCCCCCTAGGGCCACTTCCCTCTCCCTGCCCTCTCAGTTTCACCCTGCAGGGGGGGCCATCAGGCACTCAACCAGGCAGATTAACAAAAACGGGAAGTCCCTAGTGCTCACAGTGAGACACGGTGGGGAGGCCCCAGGCCTCCAATTTAACTGAATGGCCGCCAGCATCAGCTGAAATGCTCCGGGCAGATGAACACACCTAGGAGCAAGCCAGCCATGCTGGGGCAGTTAGAATTCGATGGACATTTGACTAGCAAATAACCCAAGCCAAGGGGGATCGTGTGCAAAACCTCAGCCTAGGAGGAAATGATAAGTAGCAACATATGTAAAAATGCTGTTCCATGCCTTTGAACACAGATCTACGGAGCAGGGAGGAAAGCACCTGGCTGTATCCTCCAGGCAGAGCAAGGAATGACAGTACAGTGGAAGGAATACCACAGTGAGGTCTCATTTAGGCACCTGCCCCTTTAATAAGAACCAAAAAATACCAACCAGGCCTAGTATTACCAGGGAGGGAGCAAGCTGGAAAGGAGCCACGACCCATCAATGCCTGAGGAAGGTTGGGAGACAGCAAATTAGATTGTGATTTTTGCAGCCCCTGGGATTCTGTGAGGCTTCCATGGGCCGGCCGATGGTCATCCCCAGGACAGGGTAGTTTTGCTAAGGGTGCTGGCGTGCCTAGAATTCACGGGGGTGTGCAAAGCAACGCAGGGATTGGCTGCCAAGGGAGTGCGTGACTCTCTCGGTGTTGTGTGCGATCAGCATGCGCCTCACTTCATGAGCCCTGGGTAAATGTGTGTCATTGTAGGAAAAAAAAAAGTGGATGGAAACCAGCAGAATCTGGCCCCCCCGTGCATGGGCAGTGATAAACGTCTTGTGGGCCACACATACAACCCCGCTGGGCCACATGTGGCCTTCAGCCCTCAGGTTGCCCATCGCTGGAGTAGAGAAAGGAACGGGGTGCCAAGTCCGAGTCCCTCTCCGTGTCACTGGTGGTACCAGATTTGGAACGACCCTCTGCCAATCTCAGGCCCAAGATGATGTCAGCAAACCAGAGGGAGCTCTGAGAAAAGCACCACAAACCCCGAAGGGAAGGTGACTTGGGAACGTTGATCTATTCCCACTGCTCCTGGCATTGGCCACCATTGGAAGCCAGAGCTTTGGGCTTGATGGATCTTTGGCCTGATGCAGTCTGGCCCTTCTTATGTTCTAACATTCTTTCGAAACAAAATTGAGATTATGTGCATGGTGATTAAGGCAGATAGGTCTAGACAGCTGCTTTAATACACCCTACATGAGGGGCGAAACGCCACAGAGAGGAATTAGATTCATAAATGTTACGGCTAGAAATGCCATTATGAGCATCCGCTCTGACTTCCTCTCTCTCAGAGGCCAGAGGATTTCACGCAGGTAGGGCAGTAACCAGACAAGGTAAGTCTAGTATCTGTATGTCCCCACACAACGGCCAGTGAAAACTCCTCAGCAGCATTACAAGCCATGTAGTGTGAGCCCCATCTCCCGATGGATTTAAACCAGTGGGCGAAAGACTGTGATGGAGAAAGTCACATTTGCAAAGCGCTTTAAAAAAGAGAAGCAGGAGGGTTTAACAGAAAGGTCAACGCAAGGCCTACGAGGCAGGAGACTTGAGCTGTCCCAGGAGCTCTCACTGGGTACCTCAGTGAAGCCCATATTTGGGAGGAGCCACCTACTGCCTGATTTTCAAAGGTCCTAAGGCCCAGACTCAAAGTGATCTAAGCTCCTAACATCCACTGAAATCCACTGGAGGTCAGGAGCACAAAGGCCTTTGAGGATATGGGCCTAAGCCATTGGCTTCACTTACACAGAATTGACTTTGGAAGTCAGCTCCAAACTGGGCAACCAAAAGCAGAGGGCGGCTCCTGAAAGTGCTGCCTGGGACTTCTCTGTACCCAAACTCCAGCCTAGGAGAGCAGAGATATATGGCCCCTCCAGGGATGGCTTGAGGTCCCTCTGGCTACTGGCTTGTCCAAAGCGCACCTCTCCTGCTGCGCCATTACTGCCACCCTCTGGTGACCGGGTGTTACTGCACCACCAGCAGGAAGAATCCAACAGAGTTTTGTGAATTTTTCAAATTTCAAAACTTGTTGCGACAGCTCTCAGCTGACGAGGGGAGCCCAGGTGATAGGGGACTGACTCCCTCTCCTCTGCTGAGGAGGCCACAAGCTCCCTCAGAAAGCAAAGCAGAAGAGCATATCCCTGAATTGGCAGCTTGGAATCGTTCCTCCTCCATTTTAGCCAGTTCCTGTCCTTCCCTGCTTTCATGCACTTCCCAGGGGTTAGTGGTTGCAAAGGGCTTTGCAGATGAGCGTTACCCGCTGTGATGAGGTACGATCTCTCCTGCACAGAAATGATCAGGGCTATTTTGGACCCTTTCAATCAAGCGATAGCACCTGGGACATCGCCCAGGGATGGGCTCCAGGGGAAGCGAACTGCTGGCTGAATTATCAGCTGTAATTCAGCTATCTGGATGATCCTGGGAGGTCTCCCACTCAGCTACCACTCTGCCTCGCTCTGGAATCTGCTAGATCATAACCACACAGACACAAGCAGAGAGATTCAGCTTTATTAGACTCAAACACTGGGGAACTACAACAGGACCAGGCTTCTAGGGAGTCAGGAATGGAAGTGCAGGCAGGAGAGGGAGCTGGCAAACGCCTCAGGGTAGCAGCCAGGGCTTTGCCACATC